ATCACATTTTTCTTTTATGTTCTGGTTCACACGAAAAGGGATATCCTGTAATGTTCAGAGAACATCTTGAGAACCAAGGAAAATAAGGTAGAAATTGGTGTTCTTCTTGAATTTCTGGAGGTTATAATGCCCTTGGCAATGTGTTCCAGAGCTTCGCTGTTCGTTGGATGAACAAGTCTTTGGAAAGAGATGTTCTGCAGGTCTCCAAAGTGACCACGAAGGGGTGCGAAGCCTCAATTCGACGGGTTAATCTCGCGGCGACTGCCAAGGGAGGAACAATTGTTGATCTTTCAGAAGAGCATCGTCCATGGAAATATCCATAAAATAGAGCCAGATCGCCAACTTTTCTACGGTGTTCCATAGAAGTGAGTGAGTTTGTGAGCAAGGCATCACCCACGAGACGAATTGCCCTTTTTGGGAACAGTATTCCAGGACAGGTAGGATCTGTGCCTTATAGATCATAAGCAGCTGATTGGAAGTGAAATCGCTCCTGACCCGAAACAGAAAATCAAGTTTTTGGGATGCACTTTTAGCAGTTGATCTCACGTGATTTTCCCAAGAAAGGTTATTGCTGATAGTTATACCAAGCATCGAAATGGATGTCTTCAAAGGTATGGTTACTCCTGAAGAGCTTATGTGGGTCACAGTGAGATCGGCTTCTTTAGAGAAAAAGCATGCTTGTGTTTTGTTTGCATTGAAATCTACCAAGTTATTGGATCCTCATTCGAGAATTGTTGCCAAGTCCATATTTATGTTGTCAACATTCCTCCCTCGTTTGTTTCTGATTTGCCTGACTGGTATTGGAGCCCTGGAAGAGGAGGCGATATGGAGGGTACTATGAAGTTGCTTTGAACAAATCGTTGATATGAAGTAGAAATAGTGTTAGTGCTAGAATTGATCCTTGCGGAACACCAGCATTTATGATAAGAGAGTAAGATGAAACTCCGTCGACCACTACATGGGAGACCTGTTTGAGAGAAAACTAGCTAGCAGAGAACATAGCTGGGGAGGCAAGTCATAAGATGGAAGCTTGGCGAGGAGTTCGTGGTGCCAGACTCGATCGAATGCCTTGGAGATGTCAAGTGCCACGGCTAAGGTTTCACCATATTTTTCAATAGATCGCTGCCATATATTATGTGAGTTGTAAGCGAGCAGGTCACCAGTTGATCTCTGATGACGGAAACCATATTGCCTATACGTTGATAATACCTGAATGGTCCAGGTATTTCATGAGCTCGATGTTGATAGCTTTCTCCATGATCTTTGAAATAATAGATAGCAGTGCGATCGGTCTGTTGTTGTATGAATGATTCCAAAAATTATGTTGTATGTTTGTTTTTCTGCTCTGAAAAACTTTGACTGATCCAGTAATGAAGATAATGCCACTATATTATTGTGACTCTGACTATTTCTTGGAATGGTCGGATGCAAATTATAAGCTGGTCAGAGTTAGAGTAAGGAAAGTTGTCTAGATCTAAAATTAGGCAAATTGTGTTGAAATCCAGTGACAATAAGTCTGTTGTTGTATATGAATGATTCCAAAAATTATGTTGTATGTTCGTTGTTCTGCTCTGAAAAATTGTAACTGATTCTATATTCGTGTTACTTCGACTTTTTCTTGGAATGGTGGGACACAAATTATAAGCTGGGTCAGAGTAAGAGTAAGGAAAGTGGTCTAGATCTAAAATCATGCTATTTGGGTCCAAATCCAGTGACAATAATTCTATTGTTTCTGGAAGCGATGAGTATTGCTATTGAATTGAAGTTGCAACTCACCGGTGATTTTTTTTCGGGTCACAGCCATCTTTCGTCGGGATTTACAGATCACGGCCGCCTTGTTTCTGTGAGGAAAACGCTGTATCTGTTATATTTAAATGTTGGTACGGCCTGTGTGATCCCAGCAGAGTTAGCGGCTTCAGACCACACAGACTTGTTCATAATGTTAGCAACAAATCATTATCGATGGTACGATGGTAGTGGTACGGTAAAGTTGGTAAAGAGAACCAGTTTGCGGACGTTCGCATTCGTTATTCGAAAAATATGTAAAGGATTTTTCGTTTTTCGTGTTCGCTTTATGAATAACCGATCGATCAGATATGGGTGGTTGCTTATAATGAGAAACAGTATGCTAAAAAAACTCTACACACTTCTTCGATTACATCATTTTCAAGAGCTCACTCGTGAAAGCGATAGGAACATAGTATACCAACACAAAATATCGAGAATTGGAACAATTACCAATACCATTTTCATCAACAAACATAAAGACAAATGGAAGAAGAAATAATGAACATTTTCGAATGCAATGAGAAGCATTTTGCCCTAGGTATTGCTTACCTCACGGTTTCACTTTCTTTCACAACAACGACAGACCGAGCGAGTGTGCATGATGAGGTCTGGTAGGCCGAAACAGTACCTCGCGTCTACTATAATGGGCTAGTGGACTGATAATTATTTATTGACATTCAATCACTCCTCTGTGTCGTTATACAGTGTCATTCATACAGTCGGCATCATATGGGAAAAACTTTTATTAATGTCTTATTTTGGAATTCGAGTTGTACGTTGAGTTTTGCTTCAAGATGGAAAATGGCCTACTCAATCGGGGTCACATGACTTTCGCAACATGTCAAAAGTGACATTTTTTCAAATTAATCGCTGAAAGTAGGCTTATTTGTTCGAATATCGAAAAAGTTCACTCGAAAAAGTTGTTTCTATTTCAATTTTACATATGTGACTAAAATTTTTACTTTCTATTATATTTTTTAGATTTCGATATTTTTTGAAAATTTTCGAAATTTCTGTAATATTAAAAAAATTGTAAATTCGATAAAACTACTTCATACTAGTAGCTTCATCATGCTACTAACTTTAAATTACTAATTATCACTAATTATCGACAAAAATATGATTTTCTTCAAAAAATGATAATCTCCGCTTCAAAATTCTGTTATGCTTGATGCAAACATAACATCAAAACTCTGTTATGTTTGAGTCAGAAACGAAATTCATTGAAATTGATGTTTTCAGTACTGAAAAGATGCCAAAGCCATCGATCAAAATATCACCGAACTACTTCTATCTATCTAAGCAAACCTCCAGGAGTTTTATGGAATAAATGAATCTTAAATTTAATCGCTACTGGCCCAGCGATGCCACGTCTTTGATATTCAGCAATAATTCTGCAGGACAGTAGGCAATGAAGACAAATTGAATGGGTAGGCTATGATAACAACCATAGATTTTTTAATTTATTTATTCATCAAATAACGGACAAGCCAATTATACAATTTACAAAAAGAAAGTATAAAAATACATGCTCTATCGCATCTAAACAGATATTCAATTGCACTTCCTCATTGTTTTTCATTGGATTATGTGGTTTTTTGATTTGATTTAAAATGGAACCTCCTACTTTTGAATTTTGCCAAGATTCTACTAACAGTTGACTGCTGTATATTCCTTTCCGGATGTCGGAAATTAAAATCTTCAGCAACTTGTCAATGGGGTGTATTTTCTCCACACATTGAAATGATTCCAATTTTTTCTTGTATCGATAACATTCTTACATTTATTTGCTTCAAACGTATAAAACCACGTATTTAACTGTCAAACAATGATTAATATGAAATTGTTGTCATTGACTACCTATTTCATTCATCTCCAAAGCCTACATACATACATAATCATGGATTCAAGATAGATTTGTTTTATAAAAACACTAAATATTACTCAGATACATGAAGTTTGATGATATTTTGATCGATGGCTTCGGCATCTTTTCAGTACTGAAAAAATCAGTTTAAATGAATTTCGTTTCTAAATGCTTGACGATATATCAACTTTGCATCAAACATAACAGAATTTGGAAGCGGGTATTATCATTTTCTGAAGAAAATCATATTTCTGTCCATAATCAGTGATAATGAGTAATTTGAAGTTAGTAGCATGAAAAAGCTACTGGTATGAAGTAGTTTTCTGGAATTAACAATTCTTCAAATATAACAGAAATTTCGAAAAATTGAAAAAAAAAATCAAAATCTAAAAGTTGCAATAGAAAGATCAAATTTGTGGAGAATTTGTAAAGTTGAAACAGAAACAACTTTTTCAACTAAACTTTTTCGATATTCGAACAAATATAAGCCTACTTTCAGCAATTAATTTGAAAGAATGTCACTTTTGACATGTAGCGAAAGTCACGTGACCCCGATTGAGTAGGCCATTTTCCATCTTTTTTGAAGCAAAACTCAACTTCCAACTCGAATTTCAAAATAAGTCATTAATAAAAGTTTTTCCCATATGATGCCGACTTAATGAATGACACTGTATAGGAACCGGAATTGATTTTTGCAACACTTCTAACGCTTTTTTTATGTGATTAATAGGCCTAAGCGTTGTTCAAAAGCGTTGAATTTCAGACGTGACGTCATGGCCGCCATTTGGTGATACGTCGAATGAATAGTGACGTCACTTTTTATGCTGTTTCGTTATTGGTCAGATAATCTTCCATTTCCACTCATGAAGCAAGGTTGTCAAGTCATGCACCAACTATAATCAAGTTATCAAAGAGATGCTTGAGTCCTGTCGCTGAATAAAACATAATAGGAGGAACTCATGACATCATTGATTGATTGATTGATTAATAGCAGAATGATCAGTCAGGGTTTGAAGCCCAAAACACTGCAGCCTTTGGGCCTATTGTATTCCTGATCATGCTGTTGACTTAGGTGAACAGGTTCGCTACCTTGATGAGGTTTACCAGCCTCTTCACCAGATCATTCTTTGAAAATGCCTCTTGAGAGTTTACTGCTCCCAGAAGGTTGTATCTCCAACGCGCTAGTGCTTCGCACTCCAGTATTACATGGGTGGCAGTTTCATGACATCATAGTTCATTCTTGACGTTTTCGAGCAACCAGCATGTCCAAATATTTCGTATTCTGCTCAACGGTAGATTCAAATTGTTAATATTATGTTTTCTCTTCCAGACGATACTGAATTCAATGCACAAATACCAACCAAGGTTTCACCTAGTGAGGGCGAATGATATTCTGAAACTACCGTACTCGACGTTTCGGACGTACGTCTTCAAGGAAACTGAGTTCATCGCAGTGACAGCTTACCAAAATGAAAAGGTGAGTTCTCTCTATAATCTTTAGGTACCGGAGTAATCACAGTATTCGTTTCTTGATTAATAATAATATATTGTGCAACAAGTGGAAACAGTTCAGCTTTTCCCTTTTCTCTACATGTTGCACACTAAACTTTTTCTACAACTATACAATATCATAGTTCACAAGTGATGTAACTCAATATTTATTTTCATGGTTATATTATTATTTGTAGAAGTCATTGAAGGTTTATCACTCATATACAGTGCATTTTACGTCTCCATTTCAGTAAAGAGTACTATAGTTAGTGGTTGTTGAAATATCCGGAACAACATATTGTGTCACCGCAACAAATGTTTTTTGTCAGTTTTCAATTCAAAATTCATTTGATTCAACTCATTATTGATTCAAATTAACAACAGGAATTGGTTGAATAAACAAAGACTATTTTGTTCCTATAATACAATATCTTGATCTTATGAACGATTTTGTCGATTGAAATGATTATATCATTTCATTCAACTAACAGAATTTTCAGTTTTTCAGAGAGTTAATATGTTGAAATAACAAAATATATTCTTCGATCAACAAAATTCTATTGAGAATTGACAAAATATACTGCTGAATAATGAAAAAAAATCCAATAACTGAATTTCAAAACTAAGAGAGGTTAGATTCAAGACTATAATATTAGCTTGTATAAGCGTCATAAGAAATTCTAGGACAGCCTCATATAATTATATAAACGAATGTTTTATATAGGTAGGTATATGTACACCCCAATCGAGGCCAGCGTAGGAAGGTTGAAAGAAACGCCACCTGGTGGCAAAAATACAACTAGATAATCATTCAACAAAATATTGGTTTGATATAATGTTCTTGTGGGCTCTGTTCAACAAACTAATTTGTTTGAAACAACAACATATTCCTTGATAGTGATATGTTGAATCAACAAAATATAATGTTGTCATAATCAACTCAATTTTGTCGAATAGAAAAAAACCTTTGATTGGTTGCACAATGATATGATTGTTGACTCAACAAAATATGATGTATTTAGTTAAATATTTGTCAAAATCAATTCAATTTTGTTGAATAGACAAAATGCATATGATTGATTGAATGAGATAATAGTTGGATCAACAAAATTTGTCTTATTTCAACTATAAATGTTGTTGAACGAAATTAAACTTTTGTTCAAGTATGCAAATATTTCAATCAAATTATTTTGTCTCTTTGAATAGGTTGCTTATTTGGAATGAATATATATTTTGTTGATTCCGCAAAATTGTGTTTAATTTAACCAAAAAAAAAAAGACCAAAATTATACCCCTCGACAGAATCCTCGGTAATCTTGGTCTCCGGATAATATATTCATCTATAATGAGTTTGGGAATTCATTGTTTTCATTGTATGTCTGCAGGTGCTATGAGGTCTCATATATAATATGAGGTCAGAATAATTCAGAAATGCCCAAATCAACTTCATCCATTTCCATTCCTGATGTCTTATTTTTCATGTACTTACATAGTATACTTCTGAGTGTATGTACAATTAACCAAAAAAGGAATGAGTACCTAATTTCCCATTGACATAATTGAGGATGTAAATGTTACGTCTACCTACTTAAGCCATTAAACCTATACATCGGAACCCATCATTATACCTTCCAAAGTATATCATTATTTTATTCCACTGTAAAAATTGCAATTGTCGAAAATCCAGTTTCCAGATAAACTGAAGAAGTAAATGAACAGTTGAAAGGTGTGGCATATAAGATATACATTTATATTCTTACGAATTACGATCACCTCTTCCATAATGTATAAGGTGATATTTCTATAGGAAGATAATTACCTGTTTATTTCTGCTGCAAACCTCATAATTACACTCAATTACAATTTCAAATGGAGATTAATTATTTTAGCGCTCAGGTTAGACGTTCATGCTTGTCTCTCAACACATTCATACAAACAATTTACTGGGTATTGATTTCAGCATTTGATATTATTCATAATTAGACAATTTATATCATATCATATCATATATCTCTATCAACTATGAATACTATAATTTGTAAAGTTGTCTATCAAGGTAGGAATAGATATGCTTTAGGTCATACAGTCTATATAATAAATAATTATTATACTAGATACTGCGTGTAGGTTATCAAAATGGAGGAATGTTTATTTCCCTAAATTTTTTGGGATCTTCTTCTTCTTCTTCTGCTCTTCAGTCGGGCCCATTGTGCGCCCACTTGCCCTGTGAATCAGCTGGGCATGCCGATTTCTTTGACGAAATTCAACAGCTTCTTCAGCTGAGTCGCTTTTGACATCCTTTGGGTGCAGTACAATGCTCCCAAAGGCAGCTTTCCTCTGATGCACCAGCGCGGGGCATTCAGTGAGTATGTGTGATGATGTTTCATCATCCTCCAAGCACCATCTGCAGACGGGATCATCTTTGATCCCTATGAGTTCTAGGTGCCTGTTGAGGTGGTTGTGCCCAGTTAAGAGCCCAACTACCATCTTGAGATCCCTTCTATTAAGTGACAGGATCTCTCTCGTGAGCCTTTTTGAAGGTTTCTTGAAATGGAGCTTTGATTGTCTCATTCCTGGTGTGTCCCGCCATGTTTCAAGGAACTGCCTCTGTAGCATTTCCTTCATGAAGGACATAGCAGTACTATTGGGTATTCCCAATATCGGTTCTGGTCCAATGGGTGTCGTTCCTGGACCGATCTTGGCTAGTTTGTCTGCCTCCTTGTTCCCCGGGATACCAGAGTGTCCTGGAACCCACATGAGGCTGACTTTCCTAGTTTTTGCCATATTTTCTGAAAATGAATGAAAATGAAGCATCCATCTTTGCATGAGAACTTCTACGCTAAGCATGACAATAAACGTGAAACAAAGGTTAGTTAGCAATGGACTGGACACATCTACAACCAATATCACTTATAAGTGTCTCGCTGGTTGCATGCAGTTGCATGTATTATGTTCTCAATTCCCATTCCTTTCGAATTATTTTGTAGGTTAGCAGGAATTGCAGGTATGTTTCAATGTAATTTTCGTAGTTCTTTGGTAAAATCATAGTATGTAACGCGTTTGTAAACTCTTCTAGACACTCGTTTATTAAACACTCGCTCCGCTCTGCTCCCCTCGTGCTCAAAATACTCGTTACTAAAAGGACGTTTATAACACTTGTTACATAATATACTATCAATAACTTCGCATATTGTTATCAATGCGCAAACCTCATCATTTTGGGACATTTGTAGAAAAATGTTTTTTTCAATAATATTCAATATTGCTTTCCTTACGTATTTAAGTCAATGTGTATACAGTCATTCTTCTTCGCCCCAAGGATCTTCATGTACAATAAATAATTCACAGTGACATTTATTATAGCATATTGGTCCATTAGCTCTGATTTATAACTTTGTTGAAAGCGATGTTATAGTTGAACGTCCCGTCGATTAACAATCATAATCTAACGATTATTGTACGACTTGTTGAAACTATATGGAAGTTGTTTACGCTATATAAGCAAAAACTGGCTCATTAGTCTTAGAATGATATAACGAAACCAAGAACAACTATACCGGACAAACAAATTGAAGCCATATTGGCGAATAGGTATACGGCGTTAGCATTACTTATACTTTTGAAGGCGAGGTCAATATACCTCATTCCATGAATTATGACAGATAATACCTTATATTCATTGCATTTTTAGATTCTCCTTGAAGAGCTGATTTCATCGATATATAACACTTGGGGTCTATCGGGAATGATTACAGAGATATACCGTGTTCTAAATCGAGATTTTTCAACTTTAGGATTTGTTTGTGTCGAAACTATTCATTATAGGCCAAAACGGCTCACATATTCCTATCTCGACTTTTGATTCACTATTTACTGATATTTAATCGGAACAGTTATAGGGTGATCAGAATTCTGAATCTTGAAGCCCCTGTATCTGTTCCGATTAAATATCAGTAAATAGTGAGTCAAAAGTTGTGACATGGACATGTGAACCGTTTTCACCGATAATGAATAGTTTAGACACAAAAAAATACTAAAATTGACAAATCTCGATTTTGACCCCTCTCTATAATCATTTGCGATAGACCTCCTCAAGTGTGAAACATAGATGAAATCAGCTTTTCAGGAAGAATTGTAAAATGCGATAAAATACAGGGTTTTACATTCGAAATATCAATGCTGCCACTTCTTTCTAGTAGTAGCGGCCACACTGCATTATCGAAAACATTCTAAAAGAAAAGAGCGTATTCTGAAATTCTCGAGATAAGGATAGTGTAAGCTCGTCGTGACATACCCTGTATATCCGGGAAAATAGTACTAAAATAATTTTTCTGCAACCGACACAAATGTCGTCCATTTTGATGCCAAAATTAGCTCTTAAATTGACGTTTCTAATACTGACACAAAAATAGGTATGTTGCTAGGCAACATATTTAGTTCCTAGGAGCTAAAGTTGAATTTTAGTTCCTAGGAGCTAAAGTTGAACTTTAGCTCCTAGGAACTAAAAAGGTTCTACTGGACGTCATCTAGAATAAACAACATTGTGACGGTTGGTTATTTGGGTTGAGACGTATACCTGATTTGTTTCCGATTTCAGCAGATTTGGCATTTCATACCCATGCTGGAGATATAAATACACCATTATAGTTTAGTATTTGAATTATAAACATCTCAGTTAAATATTTTTGTTTTGATCAGGGAAGCCTTCAAGATTCAAATACTTGCTTGATATGTATTTCATTCGTTATTCTCGGGATGGATAACTTGTTTTTGAATAATCACGGCAAGCAATAGTTTTTTTGTCTCAAACAACGATATTGTTTAGCTTCATTTGATTATCAAGTCAGACACAGTGTAGTATGCCAGTATGGATAGGAATAAATAATCACTATTATCATTGTTGATATGCTCACTAACCCAACAACCTAACATTTTCCACGTCTTGTTCCTATAGCTGGTACTGGCGCGGTATTTGCCATAAGAGCATCTGGTCCATACACAAATATGTCACTCTGTGGTTGTATTTATATTGAAACTACAATTCGAACATCCTAGAAAACCTAACCTGCTGTTAATGCAGGTAGAATATTCTCACCACATGGATTATTTGTTGCATTGCATACATATGGCATGGCGGGTTACTTCACATGTTTATTTGAGTTAATTGTTTCGGTTGCAGAAAAAATAGCATTTTTCATTCGGATCAAAAGTGACTTTGTTCGACTCGCAAATTTTGCTTTCCCTCGGCTTCGCTAAACGCTCCGCCTCGCAAATGCAAAATTCGCTTGTCAAACAAAGTGTCACTTTTGATCCTTATAAAACAATCTACTATTATGAGAAGCGACATTTTAGAACCTGTCAATAGATATGAAATGTCAAACTCTTTTCCCATCACAGAAAAAAATGTTTAATTTTTCAAAAAACACTTCTATTTAAGGTAGATAGGTAGAAAATATCCTCCCGCACGCCACTGTCAATTGTTTTTCATTTCAATTTGGTCTGCTCCTAATTATAACAAGGAATCTCTCACCACGTAGCGGCCTCTTTGTCGTGACAAATCTCGATTTGATTCCTAGAAGAATTAATAAAAGCGCCGATTAGGGTTCTGGGAGGCCGATTTCACGAATTTTTCATCGGAAAAATCTAGCGACATTTCTGACATTCTCTCGGGTGGTAGCTTCGTGGTATGGTGTTTCAACGATATAGCGTCGTTAAAAAAAACTGATTGAGTGGGACGATTAACCGAAATCAATTGGTGCTCAACCACTACCAAATATTGTGGAACTTCAGTATCCATTAGAATGTATAATGTATCAGTTACTGAGTTTCCAACTATTATCGTAGGACAGTATCTTCCAATGATCATCTGGAAGTTATTGATATTCCAGTGGAAAAAGTAAAAATTCATTTCTCCAAGCGGCATAGAAAGTGGATCTTGTATGTCACTTTTTCTGCCTAGGCAGACAAAGTTTGTTTTTATGCAACGTTCTACGTAATTAATGAAATTGGTGATCAAAATTGACACTGACATTGGGTGAACAGGTATAATGATAAAGTTTCCTATGAAAAATTACACAACAATCGTTTCATAACATTTGGTGAAAAAATCATATCATATGTTCCACATGGCAGCAAATGTATATTTACTACCGAGGCTGAATGGGGAAGTTTTCTTAAGCAATTTCTAATTTTCGGGGGGGAAGGGCAAACTGTGACGTATATTCTGAATCTAGTCTGAAAATAGCTCATGCTTATGGTGAAGAATATAGCTAGCGAATAGCTATAACGAATAGCTAACGAATGAGAAACGAATGAACAAAATAGAAGAAGTAAAACTGATGAACAAAAACATACATAACCACAATTGCACTCGAAGCAGGAATGCTTCATTGTGACAGGTTATGATTTTGTTATTTATGCATTGAAATATCTCGAATAGAGCTCGATACTAAATGAAATTATCAGTGAATCAATGGATCACTATCGGCTACATTCAATGATTTTATCCTTCCTAATTTACTACCATCGGTCAGAACAGAATGAAGCCGACACCCATGGCTTCTTCCTCTTGTTGTGCCTGTCAGAATTTCAAGTGGTTTGGACGGACTCGAAGTATTTGGCGCTGTTGCAAGATATAATCTGCAACTTTCTTAAAAAATAGATCCGTTTTATTAGGAAACGAATTCATTAGCAAAAAAGTGATTACTGGCACAGGGAATCGTATTTCACCTCCGGGTGAATGTGGATTTTCAGAAAGTAAGTCATAGCTTTGAGTGTCATAGAAATGGTGAAGGAGCCAAGTTCCTCCAACTATACCCTAAAAGTAGTCACAATGTATGTGTATTATATTATTTCTTCTGGGATTCGTCACACAGTTCCTATCGAAAACTATTGTACTAAATACGATAATAATATTTTAGGGTTACGATGAAATACTGTTCCAATTCGATATTTTCTCATACGGAAAACGACATCGAGGAAATATTGATAATAGGACGATGCAGGGTGATTCAAAATTCGTTGTAAATATCTCGAGGACATATTATTGGGATCAAAATAAGACTTTTCCTCCATATAAACATGTGTCCAGTAAAACTGTGGACCCTCCTCCAACTCCCCCAAAAACTGAGTTTAAAGAATTTTTGAAGCAAAAAAGAGGAGTGCCTAAAAAATAGGGGCATGTTATTATGATCACAATAATTTCAGATATTTTTTCTTTACCAACTGATACAGTGGCTGTAGCTCGAAGGGGGGCATTTTAGGAAATATATGTTTATATGTTGAAAAATTTTTATTTTGATCCCAACAATACGTCCTTGAATTATTTATTTCATTTCACCCCCACATTTAGATATACCGGGTGACACAGGGTATCGGGCCACCCCTGTAACTTCTGCTTTCGTCATCGGATTTTTCTGAAATTCGAATTTTTTCGGATTTGATCACATTACAATCCAATATGGCGGACTTCTGGAAATGCCAGCAACTTTGTTTTTTCAAATAAAACACCCTGTATATTTTTACATATTCAAGTTCAACAGGTCGAAACAAGTGCAATCTTTATTTCAAATGTCATTTTTTCGAAAAAAATTAAATTAAAATTGTTTTTTCATTTTACCTCGTGGATAAATGAGATGTGGTCAAGACTATTCACAATGAGTCACACATAACAGAAGAACATGATTTTTTCTGAAAAATTATTTTTTGTGTCACTTATCCAGGAATCAATTCAGCCACATCACTTTTTGATCAAAAATAATTTTTTTTCAAATGGAACCCCTATGGGCCACCTACCCGTTTCTCTAGAACATACATTAAGGAACAAAATGAAATATCATTCTTGTTTTTCGGTGCAGTAACAAATTGTATACATTCAAAAATCAACAACTAGTTTATGAATTTCCTTACAGTTAGAATAATTTTTCAACTAGGTAGGCTGTGGAATAAATGACATTTGACATCAAGATTGCACTTGTTTTGACCTGTTGAACTTGAATATGTAAAAATATACAGGGTGTTCCATTTGAAAAAACAAAATTGCTGGCATTTCCAGAAAAACCGAATGTCCGCCATATTGGATTGTAATGTGATCAAATCCGAAATAGTTGCTTATATAACTGTACCGAATTTCAGAAAAATCCGTTGACGAATGCAGAAGTTACAGGGGTGGCCCGATAGCCTGTGTCACCCGGTATAGATGGTTCTGATGAATTACTCTCCCTATATTATGGAATTAGGTTCGGATGAATTACCTCCTCGCTAGAAATAGTAAACAAGGTTTTTCGAACTGTGATGACTGATCATCACCTCCTCTTCATAGTGATAATTTGTCTGATGATCTTTTCTTTTCCAGATTACCCAATTGAAAATCGACAATAATCCATTTGCAAAGGGTTTTCGAGATACTGGCGCTGGAAAACGAGAAAAAAAGTAAGTATCAAATTCGGTTCAGGGTTCAGTACCAATTTGAGTTTTTTTTTGAATCGACGATGAAAAAAAGCAGACAGCACACCACTGTCCCCATCAGTATACTCAATCGCTTTGCATTTTCATCCATTTAGGCGGATAAAATATACCGGAGCCTAACCATTCTTCTACGAAAAGTTTAAATTAAAAAGCGGCCGCAAAATAAAGACATTGAACACAGAGGGTGACAATACGGCTTAACAGTATCAAATTAGCGGTGGCATTTGCCAAAGGTCACAAAGGGTGATCCTTTGCTGAAATGGGTGTATCGCATTTGCATTTACAGTAAGTGATATGCATACATTACGCTCCTGATAGGGAGGGGGTCGGGATTTAATTTTGTTTTTTTCTGTGGCCGAAAATTGGCTTTGCATCGAAATCGATAAAGACGGGACGCCGTTTCCGTTTGGGTTGTACCGCAGGGATCCAATCTGGGCCCACTGCATGGAATCGTCGGCATTTATCCATATCGGATTCTCAGTGATAGAGACGTATTTGAATGACATTGTAATCAAACCACCGCTGGTGAGCAGTGTTGATAGTTTTATCAATCAACAACAACCAAGAAGCATACAAACTACTTTGGAAGAAACCCTTTCGAAATTGATCTTATAATTGCTGGTGTTCCGCAAGGATCAATTCTAGCACCAACACTATTTCTATTCCGTTTAAACGATTTGTTGGAAGCAACTTCATGTCCAGTATCCTCCATACCGCCTTCTCTTCCAGGGCTCCAATACCAGCCAGGCAAATCAGAAACGAACGAGGGAGAAATGTTGACAACATAAATATGGACTTGGCAACAATTCTCGAATGGGGATCCAATAACTTGGTAGATTTCAATGCAAACAAAACACAAGCATGCCTTTCCTCTAGAAAATCCGATCTCACTGTGCCCAACATAAGCTTGTCAGGAGTAACCATACCTTTGTGGACATCCATTTCGATTCTTGGTATTACTATCAGCAATAAACTTTCTTGAGAATATCACGTGAGATCAATTGCTAAAAGTGCATCCCAAAAACTTGTTTCCTGTTTCGGGTCAGGAGCTATTCAACTTCCAGTCAACTGTTCATGATCTATAAGGCACAGATCCGACTTGTCCTGGAATACTGTTCTCATATTTGGAGTGCAGCACCCAAACATACCCTGAAACTGTTGGATTCTGTCCAGGAAAAGGCAATTCGTCTTATGTCCTCTGGAACACCGTAGAAAAGTTGGCGATCTGGCTTCATCTTATAGATATTCTCATGGACGATGCTCTTCTGAAATATCAACAATTGTTCCTCCCTTGGCAGTCCCCGCGAGATTAACTCGTCGAGTTTAGGCTTCGCACCCCTTCGTGGTCACTTTGGAGACCTGCAGAACATCTCTTTCCAAAAACTCGTTCATCCAACGAACAGCGAGGCTCTGGAACACATTGCCAAGGGAGGTGTCCCCCGAGGCATATAACCTCAAGAAATTCAAGAAGAACACCAATTCCTACCTAATTTCCCTTTGTTCTGACGATGTTCTCTGAACATTACGGGATATCCCTTTTCGTGGGAACCAGAACATAAAAAAAAGAAGATTCAAGAAGAAAATCATGGTTTTCACAGAAGAATCGATTAAAACTAATGCCAACGCTTATCAGGTATACTAGTAGCATGGTTGTCCCCTCCTATTCAGCCTATTCAAACTATAGATGCGATATTTTGGTGAAAAAGATTGTTTTATTTATGTTTTTGTTTTATCTATAGATGCATCTCCTTGTTCTTTTGTAGTTCTTGGTTTTCTGACACCTGCGGTGTCAATTTCACCAGATCAGGTGGTGGTATTTATTAAATATACGCGCACATTCTTTGTATGAATTTTATCTGAATTATATCCGATTCACCAAAGAGTTTCAATTTATGTTTACAGTATATTTTTCTAGGATTAGGTTCTTCATCCTTACCATCGATTTGGGTCTTTCAGTCACGTTTCTTTTATTTTTGTGAAATTGTTGTTTTCATGTAGGTGTTATGTTAACAAAAATGGATATTTTTTTAAAATTCGTTTTATACTACACTTATCAACTGACCTTCTCAACCTACTTTGTGTCATTTTCGTATTAAATCGTACCTACATCTAGTGGGAATTGGTAAAAAGGATCATAATTTCATTTTAATGCAAATGTTTTCAATTAGAGAAAAGAAAACGCCCCCCCCCTCCCTGATATTTCTCTGGCGGCGCTCATGACCAGTAGTGACATTTTTGTATTCATTATCGGGTGATGATACTATATGGTTTTCCTATAATAATCAATTTTCATTAAACATAAAACTGTAATGTTCAGGCATTCAAGTATTGCTGATGGCAACCCACAAATTCAAATGTACACCTGTTCATTAGCGGCTTTACTATTCAATATTAATTCCTTATTGCCATCCATTAATTTCACCTAGCTATAATTGTACAGTACCTACGTCAAATAGTATACATGGTGTCCGGTAAATCATGGATCTTACTTGGTGATAAACAAGTTCAGCATTGGAGATATTGGAAGTTTCTTAAAAAATAGATACGTATATTTCAGATCATGATTTTTTTATATTCCAAGCAATTATGAGTGTCATGTTAATTATTATTTTCTATGAAATATTATTGATTATTTTTTTCACTTGTCAAAATGTGACGTTTTCATGCATCTAGTTAAAATTATCAAAACATTACCACCAGCACTTGTGTAATCATTATTGTTGAATAAGTATAGTTGCAACAATCACAGAAAGCAAACTTTCGATAGCCGTCAATTATAGTCTATGAGAAAAAAAATTGAAACAAGTATCCCAATAAAAATCATAATGCATTCAAGTGATTCATATCCGAGAATATTTTCTTCTTAGACCAATATGACTGTTACCAAAAATCTCTCTTTTGCGATTGTTATACTTGTACAACTACTATTCAGTAATATTTATCGAATTGATTTGTTAGGAAAGAATGATCTGTATAAATGATCATGAAGTTTTCTCTCATTGAGAAGAATAGTAAGTACCGGCATATTTACTTCAACAAGGTGATCTTAGTTAAGTTAGTCCAGAATATTGTCAAGAAGTACAAATGCCTAATAACATCACTCAAACTCGCGGTCATTTCAAGATCTTCAATTATAGTTTACCTTTTCCAAATTAAAACATCCAGTATAGTGTAGTGTCGATCAGTTCAGCGGAGTTCATAGACGTCAGTTCCTGCAAAAACCGCTTACGGTGCGATAATACCTAGGAGCAATATCGGAAGGTAATGGCCATTTCCATTGCGAAAAATTACATCGATTGCGAATATAAATAGTACCCGAGTCGACGAGACATTATTATTAATAATACAAGTCATTAGTAATTATCAATTAAAAAATGTTCACCGTCTCCCCGACTTAAACCCTGCTGGTCAACCCCATGCTGAATTTTGTAATGTAAGTACTGTTTTTTTCAATTGTTGTTTTGCGTTGTGTTTCGTTTAGCAAGCCATTATGTTCTATTTCCTTGCTATCCTGCTATGTGGCAAGCATTTATCGAAGACTTTTCCATTTAATCAATAAATGTAAAATTTTATATGAAAACTCATTATTTCTGAATGATCAAAACCTCTCGTCAAAAAGCCGAGCGAGCAGCTAAGTTACGACATACAAGAGGGTCAACATCTGATCTGCGACAATATAGTTAGTGTCATTTTCAAAATAATTGAAGTTTGTGCCCTATAGATCTGCGAAAAAATTTGAGATACTGAACAAATCAACCTGAGCAAGGTAAATATATATTTCCACTTCAAAATATGTCATAGCAGTGGGAACGAACATTCCAAACAACAGCAATTAAACCTTCTGATTGTACGATAATCATTCGTTATTCGATCGATCTATCTTTTTTTCTATCGCATCTGTCTACTTGACATGGAATGGGGCTGCGATGAATTATTTCAGTAGCTTTTTAGATCAAGATGTAAGCTTGTTCTAACCCCCTGTGACAATTTAACCTATGTCGATTGATTGTTGGCTCCGAAAGAAGTAGGAATGCAGCATTGTTATCGGCAAGCCCATACCAGTGGCGTACAAGTCAAATGTAAACCTAAAATTTACAACGATATTTGTTACCTATTTTACAAACATAAATTTGTTTATATTATAGCCTTCAGAAAGTTGTTATCGATAAGGTTACTCTGTAAATTTGTTGATGACTTAATGAAAGCATATATCCTCTGTTTCGATCCAGAGATGTATACTGTATTTTCTGAAGGCTAGTAGATTTGGGTCATCATGACGCAACTGTTGTGTTTTTTACCGAAGTCTCGAAAGGACAGTCTTTCCATCTTGTCCATCAGCCATATTTTAATATGAATGAAATATCATTTCGACGCTGAGAAGTGGTAGACCTCGAACTTTCGCATGTATCAGACTTTTCACAATGGTACCGATATTCCTCTACTTATATGTACCAATCTTTCCTGCTATGGTCTTACTTCCAGATGCATTTCTGTAGTTGTACTCGATTTACTAATCTGTTGACATCAGTTGAAGGTCCACCTCTTTCTCACTCTATACTATGACATTCAGTCTTATCATCAGCTTCATCTTGAGTTGATTATTTGTGTGAACAAATCGTTGCTCAGCACACATATCGTGGTTTTCAAGGAAAATGTTCTTGAATTGTTCTTTTCCATCATTCGGTTGCCCCCTTACGAGCAACCCTCAGAAGTCTTCAAGAGACTTGTGCGAATGAGGAATGACAGCGTCTTACCTTTTAACGTGTGATCCCAAACACTTTCTTATAGGCCATCAGAAAAATGTCTCCGGTCGTGGTAGGAATCGAACCTACCTATATACCGGCAATCTAACGTGGATGGAACATTGACGATTCAACCACGAGGCTACGCATGTTTTCGATATTTCGATGCAATTCGACCAGCTGTCACATGAGGATGATTGAAACTTTGTTGTCGCATTTTGGTTTGGTCGTTCACTAACCAGAAGAGCGTATAGTTCAATAAGAAATAACAAATCCTTGCAAACGGAAAAGCGCATGTCAGCTTTCATCCAATGGTTTGACGAGATACGCCAAAACATCTTTCTTGAATAACTCTAAAACTAATTAAGATTGAGATACGCCGTTCAGAGAGTAGCTAGATATCCGCTGGACATAAGCTAAAGAAGCAACTAAAAAGTCGAAAAAAAAATTAGATAAGCCAGTTTATATTCTGGCCGACGAAGTGTCTCAGTATAAGGTGAGACTTCTTATTCCTTTCATGTAATACACTGCCGACTTCAATTGAAAGTCTCTCTATAAGTCGGTGAAAGTCATATATTGTATCTGCCGTCGTTGGGCAAAAATGCTTGGAAGAATACGAGGAAAAGATGCCTTTGACTCCGATGAACATAGAGGTAGCTATCGAACTGTATCACGCCGATACTGACAAGGACATAGAGAAGATAATGACTACAGCATCATAATATTAATCACAATTTAACAAATATGATTCATTTGGACCTAGAAACTTTAGTGACTATTGCAGTTTTAGGTACCTAGGTAAAAGTTTGTGTAGACGATTCTGTTTTATACTGATATTAATGCATTTTATTTTTTAACGACCTAAAGGCATCTCCAAATACGAATCATACAACTCTCAAAGGCAGGAAGGAAAGGTCGAAGTAATCTCCACACAATTTAATGACGTTGAACAGGGGACATGTTTCGGTTTCGGAAGAGACCATCTTCAGCCTGATAAGAAGTTCTACAATACAAACAGGTTTGGTATGACGAACTGAGGCTGAAGATGCTTTCTCCTGAAACCGAAACATGCCCCTGATTGTTTAAAAACGCCGTTAAATTGTGAGGAGATGACTTTGAGCATTCCTTCCTTCCTTTGACAATGACAATACCACTCTACTTTGAGCTTTATGGACTTCTACCAAAGATCATACAACTTTCTTCATGTTTGTAAAAATGATGAGGAGACGATCTGCCACTGAGTTTCCGACGTCTCCAAACACACACCACAGGGCTGACGATTTTGCAGATATCAGCTTGGGGTCTCGAATAAGGAAGGGTGGCGATCCCGGCAAATTATAACGGGGCTAAATTGACCGGCTACTGCGATAATTATAGTCGGTAACCTTTCGGAGAGACCGACCAGCCGACTTGGCACTGACTCATAAACTCGAGTGACTCGGAATTAGGAAGACCAGGAAACTCGAGAATGGGGAAGTTTCCTTCATATGAATTTTCATAAAATAAGTTCGGAATAACTCTCCAGTTTTATGTCCACGCTGTACAGAATGGCGACCGATAAAGTCCAAGTTGTTTTCATTCTCAAATTGAAGCAATATTTATAACTTGCAGGGCGGCAAACTGTGACGTTGATTCTGAATGTAGTCTGAAAATAGCTGATGGTGGAAAATATAGCTAGCGACTAGCTAACGAATAGCTAACGAATGAAAAACGAATGGAAAAAATAGAAGAAGTAGAACTACTGAATAAAAACATACATAACCACAAATGCACTCAGAGCAGGAATGCAGAGGGTAGTTGGCTTCATTCTGACAGGTTATGGTTTGGTTATTTATGCATTGGAATATCTCGAATAGAGCTTGATCCTTAACGAAAATATCATTGAATCAATGGATCACTATCGGCTACATTCAATGATACTATCCTTCCTAATTTTCTTTCATCGGTCAGAACAGAATGAAGACGACACCCAAGGCTCCTTCCTGTTGTTGTGCCTGTCAGTATTTTGAGTGGTGTGGACAGACTAGAAGTATTAGGCGCTGGTGCAAGATATAATCTGCAACTAGAAAATAGATCCGTTTCATGAAGGAACGAATTCATTAGCAAAAAAATGACAGACAAGTAATGAATAACATATTGTAATATAATGATAGTGAAAAAGTATAGATACTATCGCAAAATATCGTACACCCAAGCTTTATCCTGTGATGTTTATGCATATCATCGAAGTTTTTTCGGCCTTCTCCTGTTCATTTCAAAGAAGTTCTTGGTCTTAAATAAAGCCTCTTGCTTTTATCCTATAACGATCCCATCCACTCTAGTGATTAGTTTTCATTTTGCTCGGTGAATGTCAATTGTTCATCATGAAGAAAAGAAGGAAACCTTCCTCACTTTGAGAGTGTAGAGGTTCTTGATTAGTGATTCACAAAAACTTGATATATTTGCTAGACAACAAATTTTATAATTTTATTCTCTTTATTGTTACAGACAGGCGATGCTGGCGCAAAGGCATTCCGACGATAAGACTTCGCATCCATTGCCAGCACGGATGTCAGCAGATAGCAGTACCGTCTCCAAGACGGATGACTCCGAGCTAGATGTGGTGGGTACTGCGGATAGTCCGAGGCCGTCTCTGCATTCGTCAACACCAATAGCGTCATCTGTCAATCTCTCAGGTAAATTGTCATCTTCAATTCTCACACTATTTTCCCTTGATTATGTCATCCCCAAATCAGTTAACAGATACCTCATATAGGATGTTCATTTGTTAAAAATTTGTTAAAAACTACTTCAGGAGTATCGAGAACAAAGCCTCTGTACTTGATTAGGTTAGACAATGTAGCTGAATATCAGAATTCCTATATCTGACAAGAAAATTTGATTGAAAAATCATTTGACGACTAGAATTAACCAATAATTTGTTAATTGAGATGATAACCTGTATAGGTTCATGACCAATGACCATCAAGAAGCCCTGTTATAATTTCCTATCTAGCTGGATCTTGAAGCATTCTTTGACCATCAGAAGAAGGGTTGTTTCGGACATCCCATGAAATATCAGTCAGCCGATCTCAAGGGTCTCGGAAAATTAGATCCATATATAGATATATCCAATCCACCATTGTTCAAGTTAAAAAAAAACTACAAATAGCTACAAATACCAAATACAAATACCTATTGGTACACATTATGAAATCGTTGTCGCCCTCGAGTTATCATAATCATTAGTGATTTCCTTCTTGGTGACCTGCTACTTCATTTCCACATTACCGTAATTTGTCTAATTTGTTGAAATGATACTCTAGAGGTTAATGACCTTCAAGAAGACCTATTATCAGTCACATTTCGTGTTTAGTCGGATTTAGAAGCATTTAGTCTCATGTCTTCGACCAGAAGAAGGGGATACCCCCTGTGAAATTTGTCAGCCATATTCCAATGAAGTTAGATCCATAGATGTACTTATATAGAATGTGGAAGAAATTCAATGAGCATGAACTGTTTATGTTGTTGTTGACTCATTATGACGTCTTATGACCTTTACTTGACTTTTTTCACCCAAAACTTGAGAGTAGCCCTCAAGTTACAATAATCAATTAATCATCAATTTTTTTTGTAATCAACTACTTCATTTCACCTCATGGCCATTCGATTTTTAACCTCCATATTTTCCTCCTTTGCAGGAACAGAAGACGACTCCATCCGCCGCCGCCTTCACGACGACTCAGGCTCAGAAAGCAGCTGCTCAGAATCCCCCCGCTCCACCGCCTTCCGCCACCGACCTCCCACCCCCAAAGATCCCCCCGCTGGTCCCTCCAACCCCTCTGGCGAATACCCCTCCCCCAACATAAGCGTCGGCCCTCCCATCCACCCCCCACCACACCTCCTCCCCTATCTCTACCCACCCGGAATCTACCCCGGAGCAGGGGGAGGCCCTTCCCCTTTCGGCCCGCCCTTGAGCTTGTTCACAGGGGCGCACAACCCCAGCATGCTGTTCAACGCCCAGCTGGCCCTGGCGGCGCAGCACCCTGGCCTCTTCTCCCACTACCAGAACCTGGTGCATCCCCACCCGCATCTATCACCCACTTCCCCCATGCACGGGCACTTGAAGGGCGGGCATCGGTTCGCCCCTTATACCCTGCCCAGTTCGGTTGCGGGGATGGGCAGCGCTTTCGAGACCGTTACGCCCAGGAGCCTGAGTAACTCGCCCTCGGGCAAGGCTTCGCCGGTGCTGAGACCTAGCAGCGAGTCGCCCAAGTCGGAGCCTGGGAATTCGCCGAGCGATCTGAAGAGCATTGAGAAGATGGTGAATGGTTTGGACGTGAAACAGAGTGAGGAGATGAGTGATGAATAGTGATTGTAAGGTTGATGAGCTTAGATTGTTTGGGATCTCGCTTCACTCATGATATGGACTGCTGGATATTGACTGAGTTCACTACTAGCAGTCCATATCAGCGAAGCGAGATCATGAATGGTCAAAGTTGAAAAGACTGTTTGTCCGTACTGTATTGGGCTCTATTGGGTTCTATGCTGATTGGAAAATGAGGCTTGTTATTGGCTATTATAGTATATTCCAATGTGTCTGTGGAGGATGACTCAATTTCCTGAATTTATAATCCCGTCTTTGACCTCAGCGTACAGATAAAGCTGCTTCTGTGATACTTCTATACCTAATGTTCCACAGAACACAGAACACTTAGAATCTACATTGCAATATAAGGATTGAGTCGTCTTTATGCAGTTGAACATCCTCAGGTTTGTGGTATTGATATTATTATTCGAAAGCGAAATTGGAGAGATCTTTTTCAAGACATTAGCAGTAACAGTCCATGCACTATGAGATAATGAGAATTAGGATGCCAGATATTGTGTGGTTTCAAATTCAATTTTCACTCAAGTTCTAAGATTTCCACATCAGATTCTTGCAATCTTCTGTTGCTTCTGAAAACGAAAATGAAAATACTTTTCTAAAATTCTATGGGTATCAATCAGTAATGCAATTAATATCAAAACTACGACCTAAAACAATTTTCGGATATTATCACTTCTATGAACTCATTAGACACTTTTGACCTTTTCAGCATCGCACCGTCACGTGACATGAGATCACAAAAGTGATTCCTCAAGGACATGTTGAACACTTCCTAAATTATTCCAAATGATTTTCTGAAATAGTTCATAATCATTTCAGCCAATAGCAATGCGCGATTCTAGTCATCCTCCAAATGACATTAAAAATGGCTTTTCAATGACACCTTAACAGGCAGAGAAAATTCTGCTTAGGCAGAAGAAGTTTGTTGCTATGCAATGTTCCATGTGATGATTTGAATCAAGTTTGTATTCAAAATTGACAATTACTATGGGTGAACTCAAAATTGTAGATCATTCGGACTCTGCGTGAAATTGGAATGAATTTGAAAAAGAGAATTATATGTTTCCCATGGCAGAAAAGCAGATTGAATGCATTGTCTGGTTTCCTAGCCCTGGCTATGAAACGTCAGTCGTGGTATTAAACCTTGTGCTTTTCTGTCTAGTGAAACGAATAGCTATTATACTTAACTGTTTGACGACTCTGCATGGAATGTGATACTAGTGCACTAAACATATTCTATAACCAAGTAAAACTATCTATCTTAGAAAAAAATACCACATACCTATTGGTCAAAGAGAAAGGAGCACGATATTCCCGTTGGTATAGAGTTCAATGCTCTTGCTGTTCTGGAGACTCTAGCGCGCAGAACATCGTTTACGCGACGGCGGTTTACGTAGTGGACCTGTGATAGACCCTTGTGGTACCCCGAAATATACGCCATCGCGCTAACTATGTTTTTGCGGGTGAGTCTCAATTTCGTTTAGTGAAGGCCGCGTACACGGGGTGATGTTGCAATAAAATTTCAGCTCATGAATCTCCTGATATTTGGCGGTTTCTTAATGTAAATAGATCTTTTCATAGAATAGTCGATACCAGGATTTATTACCTTGAAGTGCTTCTTTCCATAAGCTTACTAAGTACAAATAACATGAATATGTGAATTTGTATTGAAGGTGTAGATGGTACATGCAATTTTATTTTTATTGGTGCTGCTACTTTTAGTTCAGGCACTAAAACTTATAGTTCATTTTATGATGCTTAGTAAAATGAAGCTGAGCATTAAAACTATACAATGTTCTAGGTCAGGTTTTCTATTTCCAATGAATACATAGGTATTTAAGTGATTATTCGTTTAGCTGGCAAACTGATACCATTTCATATAATTTTTAGTGCCATCCACAGTGATTTTATTTTAGACTGTACCCATTTAACGTACGAAATATAAGTTTGTTCCTTTTTTCAATATGTGTAAATAATACTTGTAAACATCCAACATTGTACATAACTGTTTTCGTGTTAAAATCGAGATGTAAATTGTATATTATAAATGTATATTGAAAATAAGCAGGAAGAACATTTGTTCAAAATAACTTTGAAAGTCGAATTCACCTTGTAGCTCACTTCTTTAGTGAAATATTTGCAATTTCGATGGCAATTTCATTGTTTGATTTCCTCCATTTTTGAATCTGTATAGCTTTTTTGTTGCATTTGATTAGTACCAATGAGGATTTGACTAATTATATTTATTATTTATGTTTATATCTCATTTTGGAATCTTAACTGTTGGTACTATTCAAAGTTTATAAAATGGGAGTAGAAAATGTGAAGTGTCTTGTGTATATGTCGTTTAATTTAAGGAATAAAATGATATTCATATAAATATAATATTGTCTTTCATTCAACCGAACCTGAGGATATACATAAAAACAAGAACGAGATGCCCAGCCAAGAATCGGCTGTAAATAATCGTGTTTCTATCAAAATAAGTTTTTCATCGCATTCTCATTTCATTTTTCAAAAATGTCCATGATTGTGGTTTTTCCAATAGGTACCAATAGTAGTCAGACATATTTTTTCCGTGTTTATTCCATGTCGAATTCTATAAGAATCAAGATAACGATTATTTTACGAAAAAAATTATTGCATTTCAATCAATTTTTCAAAAATTTACAAAATTTTGATCTACCATTGAGAAATAGGGGCCTTAGGAGAAAACTAACAACTTTTTCGTGATAGCTGGGTCAAACTCTATCTGATAATAAATATAATATCATCAGTACCTACCTCACAAATATACAAATCAGTATATTCATATTGTGAGTCTTCTAACGAATTTACTCTGATGAGTCGGCGGTTCCATGAATTGAATATAGTACCAAATTCGAAGGATGACGTGCCAGCTGATTCTTAACTCTAAAAAGACAAACAAGAAGTCATTTAGAATCAATATAGCTTATCTTATATACAGGGTGTTATATAAATATTTGGACAAACTTCACGGGGCGACTTTCTATGACTCAAAAACACAATACCGAGTGTTCCGAAATTACATAGAGATAACCACAGATTCTAGGAACAGAAATAATAAAAAGAGTTTATGTAAACATGGGTCTGAGAGGTATTCCTGGGATGTTTTGGGATGTTTCAGAAATGTAGGCATGAGGATGTTTCTTTGAGGCGTAATATGCACTTCCCAAAGAGGTCTTAGAAGGATATTGAAAGTATTGTTTTTGTTCTTTTGTGCCCTTTCTTTGTTTGCCCCACCACAACGTCTCATGCTTACGTCACAATACGATGAATTCTGATTCGTTTTCGATTTTGTTCTTCTGGTTCGCAATTGGCATTCGCGTTTGCAGCGTGTCACGCTTACATCACGCTGCTAACGAACAGAAAGGAATTTGGTGAAGTTTATTGTGTTAGAAGACTTATTTAGTTTGTAATAATGACCATCAGATGCAAGATGTGTTGTTCGGTGCCTCGGTGTAATCAATATATAAAAGTACGAATTCATCAATACACAGCTTCTCCGCAGTTGCAAAATTATGCATTGTGGAGAACATTTCAAAAATTGGGAAACCTACTTCCAATTATATGTCTGTGTGTAGTAAGCACTACTCAGAAACCGATTAAGAAGGTAATTTCATATCAAGAAAATATTTTTATGTTCAATCTATTTTTAATGAATTTTTTCATTCAAGGGAAATGGAATCCTAATGCAAAAGTTCATTTTGACGAAAGGCCTCAGAAAAGTACCTCGAAAATGTTTTTTTTACAGCGATTTAATGTGCGCAAGACGCGTTGAAAATGTTCTGTTGTGTCCATGAAAAGGCTTCAGAAAGAACTAGGGAGAAGGTAGTTTTGTGACATATCAATGACATCTCGATAATTGCCTGCGGCGGACATTGGCTGTTCTATAATAGTTCTATTCATGTGTCAACAGAACATCGCAGTGGAGGTTCAATGTCTCGAAATCTCGTACTTTTAACATCTCTGAGATGTTTTTGTGCTCGCTGGGTGGTAGATTTCGGGGGAAAAACAACTGCTTTCCTGGCTATAATGCCACGCAGAACATTGAATTACAAAGTTACAAATTACCGTAGATGGTACCTTCTGTATTCAAATCTATTGGTCATCAAGGTGGAGAAGAGGGAAATAACATGTGGCAGTTGGAGATATGATAAAAAGGTGTCCCTCATGAATTAAAAATCGACATATCCCAGCGTGTTTTCAAGGAAGCATTATTTCCGAATAAGTAATTCAGTCTGTTTCCTTATCGTTGAGCAACTCTGTATATCATGTTCGATACGAGTCATTTACAACGATGACAGTAGGAAGATAATTCAGATATCTGAATTCCGCACTATCACACAATACATAATTACTATACGTTTCTAGCGACCTTTAATATCTATGTCTTCGATTAAACAATCGTTCAATAATTTATAATAGATCGCCAGTAAGGCACTTATAATGCTGTCCTTGCATTGTGCAACCAAGATTTATTGCTGCATTGAATTCCCGTTTCTAGTTGCAAATTCAATATTCGCACGGTGAGTAACATGAATTAATGTTAAATTAACACCAGTGTGTCATCGAGACGTAGAAGAAACCTTTCCATATTACTCAACAGTCATTTGGAATGGAAATGAATTAAAGGTGTTCAACAGGGATAAGTATAATAATTATTTTTTATTCACGACCGCTCTACAGGGTGTATCTAAATAACACCAAAAAAATCCAAATGAAGATCATATAAAACATATGTCATACCTTGCTCCGTTTTTGAGATAGAGGATGTTGAAGTTGGAAGTATTATTTGTTTTTATTTATAACCCCCCTGTATTAGCTTTCATGGTGCCAAAATTCAGTATGGATGGAGACTAATAAAGCCCCAAAATTTCAAGATGATTCTAATTGGGATTATTGACTAATCTCAATGGAAGTCTTGAAAAGACCTACATTAAAATTCGGAGTCAAATCGAATTCTTATTGTTTCCTCAAAAACTAAGCTATAGATACAAAAATCCCTTGGCGATGTGTTCCAGAGCCTCGCTGTTCGTTGGATGAACGAGTCTTTGGAGAGAGATGTTCTGCAGGTCTCCAAAGCGACCACGAAGGGGTGCGAAGCCTCAACTCGACGGGTTAATCTCGCGGGGACTGCCAAGGGAGGAACAATTGTTGATATTTCAGAAGAGCATCGTCCATGAAAATATCTATGAAATAGAGCCAGATCGCCTACTTTTCTACGGTGTGCCAGAGAAATGAGTGAGTCTGTGAGCGAGGCATCACTCACGAGATGAATTGCCTTTTTTGGGACAGAATCCAACAGTTTCAGGGTATGTTTGGGTGCTGCACTCCAAATATGGAAACAGTATCCCAGGACAGGTCGGATCTGTGCCTTATAGATCATAAGCAGCTGACTGGAAGTGAGTTAGCTCCTGGCCCGAAACAGAGCACCAAGTTTTTGGAATTCACTTTTTAGCAATCGATTTCACGTGATTTTCCCAAGAAAGGTTATTGCTGATAGTAATACCAATCATCGAAATGGATGTCTTCAAAGGTATGGTTACTCCTGACAAGCTTATGTTGGGCACATTGAGATCGGCTTTTCTAGAGAAGAGGCATGCTTGTGTTTTGTTTGCATTGAAATCTACTAAGTGTTATTGGATCCCTATTCGAGAATTCCTTCCTATAATGTGCTTATTGGAAATCGGACAACGTATATTTCCCATTTGGGTATAATAACTCTTCCTCATGGTTCATATGGAGTGGTGCCAAACAGTTCGGTGTTAAATACCAACCACACGTAGTTAAATATTCAAACAACTCGATGTCGACCAATGCTCCTCAATTTTTTCACATCGTCAGGTAAGTAATTGCAGTTGTCAACTCCCAATCGATGCCCCGATATAGCGACCAGCGAGGTGTCATTTCTAATTTATACTACTTAACATAGTTGGCCGTGCCTGACATACATAAGAGACATTTCCACAGAAGTTTCATTGTTCTCCATAAATATACGCAGCTGTTGAACTCTTGTGGAAACTCGACGTTTTATATAAGGCGAAAGGCATCCGATAATGGTGCGCGAAAAAATCTCCTAGAATTCGCTATTGCATTTGCATTAGAGTTGGCAGAGATACCGACACGGTTTCTGTTTTATAGTTAGTGACAATATGGGTTTAGTCAATTGATATCGCTGAATGTATGCTCCGAAAAGAGTTTGATTCCATCAGCAGTTGTGATATGCTAATATATCATTATATAAGATAATGATCTGCCCTGTGCCGGTGCATTTTACTAAAATTAAATTTTTCTACCCACATGACTTATATGAAGTGACATGGTTGATACGCCATGAATGCCCCTCCCCCTCTAGCTCAGTTATTTTTGAACCGATTGTAAAATTTCAAATATCATCTAAAATGATTTTCGATGGAGTTTTTTCCGCTACATCAGAAAATACAAGGTGCTCGGAACAAACGATATCCAGGGTACTATTTGATATTTTTTAAGAAAACCCTATTTTTCATTGTATTTTCAGATTCTCCATGAAGAGCTGATTTCATCACACTTGATGTCTAGCGAAAATGATATACTTACAGAGATATACTGTGTTCAAACTCGAGATTCTTCAACTTTATGATATTTCTGTGATGAAACTATTCATTTTTGGTCAAAACGGCTCTCATGTCCGTATCTCAACTTCTGATTCACTATCTACTGACACTCAATTATCGGAACACATACAGGGTGATCAGAATTCTGAATCTTGAGCCACACTGTATATGTTCCAATTAAATCTCAGTAGATACTAAATCAAAAGTTGAGATAGGAACATCAGAGCCGTTTTGACCAATAATGAATAGTTTCGACACAAACAAAAATCCTAAAGTTGAAAAATCTCGATTTTGAACACCCTCTGTAATCATTCCCGCTAGACCCCAAGAGTGATATATCGATCAAAGTAGCTCTTCAGGGAGAATCTAAAAATGCAATGATACCTATACATTTAAAAAAATCAAGTAGTACTCTGTAGATCGTTTGTTCCGAGCACCCTGTATGTTTTGATGCAACGGAAAGAAAAATTCTGAAAAATTATTCTAGGTGATTTTTCAAATTTTTGAATCGGTTCAAAAATGAGTGAGCTAAAGGGGGGGACATTCATGGTGAATCACCCTGTACCATGCTGAATGATCGAATAATCACAAATTGGCAACACAGTTTCTTAAACACATTACAATGGCAACACAGTTTTTGAACACAACTTCAGTCGTTCAAGTCCTGTCCTGTCTGCTGTCTGTTATTTGTAGGAATTGTCAACTACCATTTTAGAATTTTGTTGCATTCGATGGGCAATCAGGTTTCTTAAAACGG